TCTTCTATATGATGATTGTTTCTCCTTTTTTGTTCTACTTTCCTCTTTAGTGAACCATATTTGTTTTTTCTTCTGCTCACTCTTACTCATTTCCCTGACATATAATCTGGTTTCCCTCCAGGAGGGTACACTTTTAACACCCACTAATTCCTGACTCCGGTCTTTTTGATTCATTTTTTTTAGAAATTCCCCCTTTCCAGCAAAATGTGTCCTTTTGAAAGCTGAATATTTTTTGTTTTTGTAAATGATTATTCAGTTCTTGTTTTATTATCAGACCAAAAACATTGCTGATCACTAGAACCCACATTTCTGCCATCTCACCATCAGACAATGGATCCCCATTTGTCCATACTAGGTCTACAATATGACCACCTCTGGTTGGGCTGAAAAAAGGCTGAAAAACTGTGTTTTTCACAGACAGCATATGGATGCCGAGTAGAGGCTGAGGTTACAAACCCATCTGTGCATAAATACCGGACAACCATCTCGGGGAATGTTGGGAAATCTGATCATGGGTAAGTATCTATAGTTGCTGCAAACAGAGCGGTTCCCATGATGAATATAAGGGGGAGAAGATAAGAGAATAGAAGTGAGATGGGGATGAAGAAAGTGGAGAGAAGCAAAGGGGAAGTGGAGGAGAAAAAAGAGGAAAAAATTAGTTGGGTAGGTTAAAAGTGAGAGAAATGAATGGGGGGATGGGATCGGTAGTATGGGGGTTCCTGGAGCCATCAATCTGCTCCAGCATGAAGAGTTATACCTTCCTCTTAGAATACGAAGGCCGTCCAGTAGAAACCAGGTTTTCTCCTAAATGTCCTGTTTGTTTTGTGAGGAAGGAAACAGGTCTTCCATATTGCTGATATCCTCCACCTTACATAGCCACAAGGAGATTGAGGGGGAGGGGAGGGGGAGGGTCCTTCAATGGTAAAGGCAATAGGAATCCATGTGTGGTGTGGCAGGAAGAACTCTAGACAATCATGTGTGGTAAAATCTGTGCATTTTGGGGAGATCTCCCTGACCCTGTTCTAGGAGGAGGGTCTCCACAGGACCAGAAATGTTTGAGGTTGAACCCTTGTCTTTATTGCACTTCCAGCAGATGTCAGTACAATCTGGGAATGGTTCTGTAACATCGGGATGGTATCTTGAGGTTAGTTCCTTGATGTTCGGGTGTTTCAGAGAAACCCCATTCCAGGCTTTACTAGCCATTGTTGGAGCTCAGATGAGCCCAGCACAGCATCAAGGATAAAGTACATGTTCAGCTAACAAAATCCCATCCCCCTTTAACCACTCCTGCCTCCGCCACGTACCCGTATGTCACCGGGGGTTGAAGTGGTAATGTCGGGATAATGCAGCTACAGGAATCATCCCGGTATCTTCATTTCCAGCCGGCGATGGGATTGAATGTAGAAGTGATCCTAGCAGATAATTAGCTGCTGGAATGCTTTTACAGTTGGCAGAAGGTGGTCCCCCTCCCGATTCTTTGGCTCTCCCTCCCCGTCCCACCAGGGAATCCGGGACTGAAGATGTCTGTTCTGCCGACCAATCATCTCTATACTCTGAGAAAGTGGAAGGAACAAGTGTTTTGTCAGATCACCAGGATGTGAAGAAGACATTACTGACTTGAAAAGTATGAGATCAAACTGATCTGGGGTTCATCTGATGGTTTTAAGGACAGAAGAAAGATCTGGGGGCTAATAGACCCCACATCTCTCCATAAAGAGGATACACAGGGGATGTTGTTTATCACTTCTGATAGCAATAAAAAGAGATAAAAAAGAGCCATTCTCAATACACACGTGAGATATCACCACAAACAGTACCGTGTTCCCCGTACACACGTGAGATATCACCACAAACAGTACCGTGTTCCCCGTACACACGTGAGATATCACCACAGACAGTACAGTGTTCCCCGTACACACGTGAGATATCACCACAGACAGTACAGTGTTCCCCGTACACACGTGAGATATCACCACAAACAGTACCGTGTTCCCCGTACACACGTGAGATATCACCACAGACAGTACAGTGTTCCCCGTACACACGTGAGATATCACCACAGACAGTACCTGTGTTCCCCGTACACACGTGAGATATCACCACAGACAGTACAGTGTTCCCCGTACACACGTGAGATATCACCACAGACAGTACCGTGTTCCCCGTACACACGTGAGATATCACCACAGACAGTACCGTGTTCCCCGTACACACGTGAGATATCACCACAGACAGTACAGTGTTCCCCGTACACACGTGAGATATCACCACAGACAGTACAGTGTTTCCCCATACACACGTGAGATATCACCACAGACAGTACAGAGTTCCCCGTACACACGTGAGATATCGCCACAGACAGTACAGCGTTCCCCGTACACACACGTGAGATATCACCACAGACAGTACAGTGTTCCCCGTACACACGTGAGATATCACCACAGACAGTACAGTGTTCCCCGTACACACGTGAGATATCACCACAGACAGTACAGTGTTCCCCGTACACACGTGAGATATCACCACAGACAGTACAGTGTTCCCCGTACACACGTGACATATCACCACAGACAGTACAGTGTTCCCCGTACACACGTGAGATATCACCACAGACAGTACAGTGTTCCCCGTACACACGTGAGATATCACCACAGACAGTACAGTGTTCCCCGTACACACCTGAGATATCACCACAGACAGTACAGTGTTCCCCGTACACACGTGAGATATCACCACAGACAGTACCGTGTTCCCCGTACACACGTGAGATATCACCACAGACAGTACAGTGAGAGGAATAATTCTGTCCCCAGACCTCCCGTGTAACTCTGAACTGGTAACCTGTAAAGGCTTTTAAAGTGTTTCCTTTGTAGATTTTTAGGTAGTTTGTCACCATTCCGTGGACATGCACAGTTTTAAAGTGTGACATGTTAGGTATCTATTTACTCTTCACAACATCATCCTTTATATTTTACCAACCGATTTGGTATTATATTGTGTTTTTGTGCATTAAATATCATTAAAGTGTTATTTTTTCCCAAAAAAAATATTGCTTTGGAAAAACCACTGCACAGATATCATGTATAAACACCCACCATTTCATTATCTAGGACCTCTGCTTAAAAAAATGTATAATGTTAAAAATAATGTAAAATGTATAATATTTGGGAGTTCATCGTTGATGAATTATTGTCTATGACTTGGTAAGCAGAGAGCCAGCGGCTCCCATGGCAACCCAACCAAGCGCTGATAGCGGTACCACACACGTGATGACGTCAGACATACAATAAGCTGAGAAAATCAAACACCAAAATAAGTGGGACCATCAAAGTTCACACATGAATTGGAGACACAATATTATAATTGTATTCACAATGGATTAATAAAATGATCATTTGGTTATTTACAATATACTAGCCTCTTAGAGGCAGACATTAGCCTCCAAAAAAGGCAATTGTAACATCACAAAAATATAAATTCCACACCAATTAAGCTCAAAAGAGCAGGCCCTCGAACCCCTCGTGTATTGTATTGTTACTGTTTTGTCTCATGTTCTGTCCCCACTATAATGTACAGCGCTGAGCACACCTTCTGCCGCTATATAAATCCTGTATAATAATAATAATAACTATAATATTCAGTTCATATTCTGTCCACATGGAAGAAGAAGAACAATTCTGTACGAGGACAGATTGTTCGACTTACATAAAGTGTGAAATCAACGTTCGACATGCGATTCAGCCTTTCTAAATAAAAAATTTCCAAAGGGACAAACTTTAAAAATTTTCTCGTATGTGAACAGAACTAATGATTTTCACTTAATCTCTACTGTTTTTGTAATGTTTTCATATGAGAAAAAATCAGATGTGGAAGATTGCGTATGATCAGAAACAATAAACAACAAAAAAAAAAAAGCCTTTGTTGTATGAGAGTTTTCATACAATTAGTACCATCCTCAGTTTGGACTTGCTGTGAATCATCGAGGAAAACTGGACAATTGTTTCCCGATTCTCTTATAGTGTGCCCAGCTTATAGTCCTCCTCCCTCATGGAAGGTATCACCTATTATCTAGCATGCTGATGAAGTCAGGACGGGGGGACCGGTTGAGGGAGGACACCTTGTTGGCATTACCTGTCCCCTGACTCTATCAGCACTCAGGATATTGGGTTATACCGATGTTTGGTGTCATACAATGAGATAAATGATGTCATGATGGACAATACCAAATGGGGGCCCCAAAGTTTACTCTCAGAAGCTCCTTCCTAAACTAGAGGTTTAGTTTCGGTGAATGTTACGCTGTATTGGGGATGAACTTCTCTATAACATCTCGGAATGCTTTTCTGATATCCTGGTTCCTCAGACTGTAAATCAGAGGGTTGAGGAGAGGAAGGATCACCGTGTAAAACATGGACACCACTTTGTTACCGGCATACCGATGGCTTCCCTTTAGCTGAAAATAATTAAACCATGCAGAACCATAAAATATAAACACCACTGTGAGATGAGGGGTACATGTGGAGAAAACTTTACTTTCTACTGCCCTTCACTTTGATTGTTAGGACCGTGTTTGAATATATAGACATAGGACAGGAAGGTCGGTATCAGAGACCCACCCCAACGAAGATACCAAAGATAAAGACGAGCAGAATGTTGATGAAGATGTCACTGCAGGAGATCTGAAAACAACTGAGGAAGGTCACAGAAGAAGCTTTCTATAATATCTGATTTACAAAAGTTTAATTGAAAAGCATAACATATATGAATTGAAGAATGGATTAAACCGAGACACCACACGATGGACACCAACTGGACACACACACTTTCCAACTCATGGTCTGTATGTAATGTAATGGCTGACAAATGGCGGCATATCGATCATAGGACATGACAGCCAACAGAAAAACCTCAGAAGTAGCAGAGAAAAAAAAAGAAGAAGACTTGGGTTAGACAATCTGTTATGGTAATCTGTCTTGTCTGGGTGTGAAGGTCAAATAACATTCGTGGGACGGTGACCGAGGAAGAACAGAGGTCCAAACCAGCCAGGTTCCCAAGGAAGAAATACATAGGAACATGGAGGTGAGAGTCGGTGACTATGAGGACAATGATCAGCAAATTCCAGATTAATGTCAGAAGGTAGATGAGAAGGAAGAAGAGAAACAGAGGGAGCTGAAGAGATGGAACTTCAGACAGTCCCACGAGAATTAACTCCTTCACAATTGTCTGATTTCCATAGCAACAATGTAACTTCCTTGTGTTAAATTCTATATAAAAAAAAATTAAAAAGATGTACAGTAATAAATATGCAATTCACTTTTCGTTGCAATCAATGGAATAAATTGATTTATTAAAATTCACAAGATCTAATGTTCCATTTTCTAAAACAAATTTGCAACTAGAAATTCAAAACTTAAAGTTTTTGCAGAAAACATGACATGGTCTCTTATTACTATAAACAATGGCAAATGTTATAATTCTTCTCTTAAAATCTCAAATGTTGGTGGAAAAATCAAATTTGCTGCCTAGGTGTGGATTATATAAAATAATTAAAAAAAAACTATACAAGAACCAGTAGGAAATCCACACCAGTGATCAGTAAGTATAACACGGTATTTTTATTAAATAATCACTAAGATAATAATATTTGCATTGGGTTTCCAGGGTTCAGACACTGCCTCTTCTTCAGGGAGACAACAACAAGAGAATATAAACTTTCATAATAAACAATAAAATTCATATATTAAAATGATTTATAAACAAAAAAAATAAACAGAAAACTAAAGTAGTATTTTTGAAAAATAAGCACCATATAAATAAAATGTAAGAATCAGTAGGAAAGCCACACCAATGGATAATAACTGTAACATGGTATTTGTATTAAATAATAATAAATTAAATAATAATATGAATAATATATTAAATAATTACTAAAATAATAATGCATTTAATAGATTCACAAACTCCCCCTTCTTCTGGGCTGCAAAAAGCAAGATGACATAAGAGTTCAGAATAAATAACATATATATAAATATTTATACATATTTGTCTATAATACATGATATATAATATATATGCAAACTATTTAGGGTTTGCTAAAAAAAGGAGGGAAAAGTCAATTGTTGTGATAATACCATATAAGAGGCAATTCTAGTACTATTATAACACAAAATAATAAAATAATTTCTAAAAGACTCAATAAATTTTGCATAAAATGATGAAGAAGAACAATGGAGCAATCATTATCACACACTTCTTCATTATTTTCTAAGTGGCAAACTGGACAATCAACACTCACATGACAAAACGGTTTGAAACAATATGACCAATTGTGCCAAAAAACACCAAAAACAGTGACAGACCCGCGTGACCAATTCCCACTATGACATGAATGTTGGAAATGTTAGGAAAGGCGAGTATAACATAATAAAAAGGAAATAAATGAGAAGAAAGAAAACAAAGCAAAAAACAAAACAGAAGAAATGATATCGGTTATTCCGGGCGTCCTTCCAGGAACATTAATTTACTTTGAAGTCTTTCCATAAATAATCTGTATTTTTTGTGTAATGTGGAGGGGGGAGCCCAACCTGTAGAGCAGAACCCCAAATTCAGCTCCCAGAGGCGGACCTAGGTGTGTAAATGATGTGCCATTGGTTCTATTTGGGAGATGAAGGAACTTTCTTCTCTCTCCACACAGAGCCGAGATCGCTGCAACAACTGCCAGAAAGTGAGACCTTACTACAGTAAATGGAGAGGGTTGCTTCTGCCTCTAAATGGAATTAGGAGGATTTTATTGTAAAAGTTGATTACAATAAATGAAGCCCCTTTAGGTATATATTTATATATATTGTTCTATCAAAGAAACCAAATCTGAGGAGCCTATAGATATATAAAATATCCCATCTTTTAGGCTGAACTGATATTTCTCGGTAATAATAAAGTCTATAAGATATGGGACCTATAAATATATGTTTTCTTGTTTCAGACTCTTCCTAGATTTAGTCTTTGACCCACCAGAGAGATAAATTTGTGATGGAAGAGAGGTGGAGGAACGTTCCCTGGAAGGGTCAGTTCAGTGGCAGCAGGTCTGATATGGAGACATTTTGCTGGAGGAAGGGTCATATCATAGAACAGACAATCGGTGTGACATTCAGAGTCACAATACAGTTTGATGAGCTCCACATCCATATATTTATAATGCAGACATTCCCTCTGATACTGTATCACCGGAGCACACAGGAGACTAGATTTTCTTCTATATTATTCCACACTAATGGGAATATCTGACTTTTAGTAAATGAATCTCTATAGAAAACTAAGCATTACCTGGAATAATTCATCCCTCAGTGACCTCCAAGTCCAGTCAATTTATAACTCAATGCGCTTTGTATTATTACATTATTTCTGATAAATATTTCTTCAAAGTTTGAAAGGAAAATAGGTGATGCTGAAGTAAGATGAATAGATTTAAAGTAAATTTAATGTAAAAAAGTAAAACAAAATAAAGTTCAATAAAATAAAAATTGTAAATAAACAAATTGCAGTAACAGAAAACCAATCTGATGAATGTTGATTCTCCTGCAGAAACTCCATTCACAATAGTAGATTTCTCTCACTTTACATCTGTGCCAATGGTTGTTGGTAGAGATGAGCGAATCGAAGTAGGCGAAGTGGAATTCGTTTCGAAATATTAGGAAAAATTCGATTCATCGCGCCGAATCCGAAAATTAGCAGACTTCGGATGCACGAATCAAATTTTTTCCAAAAATGGCGGCGACATGTGCGGCGACGCCGACGGAGCGGGGATCTCTGGGAAGGTGCGCAGACAAGGCGCGCTGACCCATAATGCAATTCATTCATGACATGTGATCGCATTAGCCAATCAGCAGCCAGCCAGCCAGCACAGTGTAATGGTGGAGCTATAAATCGCGGCCATCTTACAATTCTCCCATTAGCCTCCAGTCATTCAACAGAGGCAGACCTCTCTGTATTAGGGACAGAGTTAGGGCCACAGAGACTTTAGGGACACAGAATCGTTACTTAGGGACACAGAATTGTTACTCAGGGACACAGAATTGTTACTCAGGGGACAGACACAGAATTGTTACTGAGGGACACAGAATTGTTACTCAGGGACACAGAATTGTTACTCAGGGACACAGAATTGTTACTCAGGGACACAGAATTGTTACTCAGAGACAGACACAGAATTGTTACTCAGGGAAACAGAATTGTTACTCAGGGACACAGAATTGTTACTCAGGGACAGACACAGAATTGTTACTCAGAGACACCGAGTTGTTACTCAGGGACACAGAATTGTTACACAGAATTGTTACTCCAGGAGGGACACAGAATTGTTTACTCAGTGGACACAGAATTGTTACTCAGGGACACAGAATTGTTACTCAGGGGACACAGAATTGTTACTCAGGGACACAGAATTGTTACTCAGGGGACACAGAATTGTTACTCAGGGACACAGAATTGTTACTCAGGGACACAGAATTGTTACTGAGAGGACACAGAATTGTTACTCAGGGACACAGAATTGTTACTCAGGGACACAGAAATTGTTACTGAGGAACACAGAATTGTTACTCAGGGACACAGAATTGTTACTCAGGGGACACAGAATTGTTTTACTTCCAGGGACAGACACAGAATTGTTACTCAGGGACACAGAAATTGTTACTCAGGGACACAGAATTGTTACTGAGGGACACAGAATTGTTACTCAGGGACACAGAATTGTCACCGAGGGACACAGAATTGTTACCGTGAGGGGACACAGAATTGTTACTCAGGGAGACACAGAATTGTTACTGAGGGACACAGAATTGTTACTCAGGGACACAGAATTGTTTTACTCAGGGACACAGAATTATGTTACTGAGGGACACCAGAATTGTTACTCAGGGGACAGACCACAGAATTGTAATACTATCAGGGACACAGAAATTGTTAATTCGAGGGACAGACTTGACAGAATTTGTTACTCATATTTGAATGGGACACACAGAATTGGTTACTCAGGGACACAGATTGTTTACTCCAGGGACACTGAGAAATTGTTACTGATGGGAACACAGAATTTGTTTACTCAGTGGACAGACAAACTGAATTGTTACTTCAGGGACCGACACCGAATTGTTACTAGCAGGGACACAGAATTGTTAACTCAGCGGACAAGACACAGAATTGTTACTCAGGGTACACAGAATTGTTACACAGGGATCATGAAGGTTTTGTTACTCAGGGACAGACCACACAGAATTGTGTTACTCCTGGGACACAGAAGTTGCTTTCTCTCCTTAAGGGACACAGAATTGTTACTGCCAGGGACACAGACATTGTTACTCAGAGGGGACAGACACAGAATTGTTACTCGTAGGGATCCACAGAATTGTCTACAGAGGGACAGCCACAGAATTGTTACTGCAGGAGACATCAGAATTTGATTTACTGAGGGACACAGAAATTGTTACACAGGTGAGGGCCAGACACAGAATTGTATTACTCAGGGACACAGAATTTGTTTACCTCAGGACACAAATAGTACTCAGGTGACAGAACACTGAATTGCTATAGCTCATGGACAGACACATAAGTGTTACTCAGTGACTACAGAATAGTTACTGAGACGAGACACAGAATTGTTTAACCTCACGGGACAGACACATAAGATTGTTTTACTCAGCGGACACAGAAGTTGTTACTGCAGGGACACAGAAATTGTTACTCAGAGGACAGATGAGATGTACTATGTGTAATTACTCTTTGGGTTGACACTGAATTGTTTACTCAGGGACAACAGAATTGTTATCAGAGGAGCAGACAGCAATTGTTACTGAGGGACACAGAATAGATACTCGGGGGGACGCATTATTTGTTTCCTGAGGGGCAACATCAAATAGTGACTCAGGGACGAATTGTAATAGGGGACAGCCACAGACTTGTATTTCATTACTCACATGAATATAACAGTCTTGGGTCCTTAACTGAATTCCAGTCAATAACTACTGTCCATACTGAGGGATCGTTACCGTAAAATAACTGTTACTCAGGGATACAATGCTTTCTCATAACACTTTCAGGACACTTACAATTTCCCGCCAATAACATCAGGTACTCAATAAATTTTCTTACATAAACTTGTCCTACCAAAGGGATACACACTTGTCTACCACTAGGGACACAGAATTGTCTACGAGGGATAC